GCCCCAGGTCGGGGTCGGAGAGGATGAAGCGCCGGAACCCCCCCCACCGCGGCTCACAGCTGCGCCGCTGCCCTTACCGGGGCCGCCGCCGCCTCCGCCATGGCCCCGCGCTGTCCGCCCGGCCCGGGGCCGCCGCCTCCTCGGTCTCGTCCTCCTCGGCTGCGCCAGCCGCTCGGGGCGCGGGGCAGGAACACGACCGCCTGCACGTCCGGTCGCCTGACAGGCTCACCACGCTCGGCCCACAGCGGACCCGCAGCCGGCTTTGTAGCAGCGAGTGCGGCTGGGAACCGCCTAGACGCGCCGCCGGCAGCCCGCGCCCAGCGCGCCCCCTGCCGGCCCGCGGCCTCTGCCGCTCTGGCGCCCAACGCGTGCCGGACGCCTCGGACGTTCCTGACGATCGCGACGCGCGCCGCCCGCGCCTAACGGTCCTTGGGTGTCTCCGCCGCCGGTCTCGGCTTGGAGGCTTCGTTTCTGTGTGTTGTTTATTTTGTGGAACCGACGTGTGTTTTGTTTTCTCACAGACCGCTAAAACTGTTCAATAGGGGGTAGTTTAGGCCCAACCGTAAACCAGGGTTGTTCTGGACAGTTCTTTGCTTCATAACCAAAAAAAAAAAATCGTTGCTATTTAATCAATTCTGACCGCCCCATAGGGTTCCCAAGGAGCGGCTGGTAAATTCGAACTGCCGAACTTTTGGGTCGTTTCAGGTAAAGAGTGTGTGTGTTACCAGAAGACAACTCAGTATTTCAAATTTATGGGGAAGTGATAACATACACATGCAGGAAACTCAACAATTTCCAAATAAGGTAAACACAAAGAGATCAACAGACACGTCCTACTAAAAATGCTGCAAGTTAAAGACAAGAACATTTTGAATATACAGCAAGAGAAAAATAATTCATTACAAGGGAACCCCAAAAAGATTAACAGTTGACTTCTCAATAGAAACAACAAAGGCCAGAAGGCAGTGGAATAACATAGTCAACGTGCTCAAAGAAAAAAGATTCAATCAAGAATCTTACATACAGCAAACATCTTTCAAAGATGAAGTTGAATTACTCTCCCATATTAAAAAAAACTGAGAGAGTTTGTTGCCAGCATACCCACTTTATAAGAAATACTAAAGGAGATTCTTCAGGCAGAAAGCAAGCGACCCCAGAAGATAATTTGAATCCACACACACACAAACAAAGAGTACCAGTCCAACAGAATGCAGAAATTATTGAACAATATCATTAATATCACATGCAAGTAAAATTTTGCTGAAGATCATTCAAAAGTGGTTGCGGCAGGACATCGCCAGGAAACTGCTAGAAATTCTAGCTGATTCATAGGAAGACTTGGAATGAGGGATATCACTGCTGATGTCAGAGAGATCCTCGCTGAAAGCAGAGAATACCTGAAAGAGGTTAATTTGTGGTTTACTGACTATGCAAAGGCATTTGACTGTGTGGATCATAACAAATTATGGATAACACTGTGAAGAATGGGAATTCCAAAACACTTAATTGTGCTCATGAGGAACCTGTACATAGACCAAGTGGCTGTCATTCAAACAGGACAAGAGGATACTGCATGGTTTAAAGTCAGGAAAGATGTGTGTTAAGGTTGTATCCTTCACCATACTTATTCAATCTGTATGCTGAGCAAATAATCCAAGAAGCTGGACTATATGAAGAAAAATGCAGCATCAGGATTGGAGGAAGACTCATTAACAACCTGTGATATGTAGATGACACAACTTTGCTTGGTGAAAGCAAAGAGGACTGGAAGCACTTACTGATGAAGATCAAAGACTACAGCCTTCAGTATGGATTGCACCTCAACGTAAATAAGACAAAAATTCTCACAATTGGATCGATAAACAACATCATGACAAATGGAGAAAATACAGACATTGACAAGGATTTCATTTTACTTGGATCCACAATTAACGCCCATGGAAGCAGCAGTCAAGAAATCAAATGATATATTGCATTAGGCAAATCTTCCACAAAAGACCTCTTTAAAGTGTTCAAAAGCAAAGATGTCACGTTGAGGACTAAGGTGTACCTGACCCAAGCCATGGTATTTTCAATCACCTCATACGCATGTGAAAGCTAGACAATAAGAAAAGCTACAGAACAACTGATGCCTTTAAATTATGATGTTAGCAAAGAATATTGAATATACCATGGAATTCCAGAAGAATGAACAAATCTATCTCGGAAGAAGTACATCCAGAATGCTCCTTAGAAGGAAGGATAGTGAGACTTCATCTCACCTACTTTGGACATGTTATCAGGAGGGACACATCCCAGGAGAAGGACATCATGCTTGGTAAAGTAGAAGGTCAGTGAAAAAGAAGACCTTCAATGAGATTGATTGACACAGTGGCTGCAACTCTGGGCTCAAGCATAACAACAATTGTGAGGATGGCACAGGACTGGGCAGTGTTTTGTTCTGTTGCATATAGGGTTGTTACGAGTCGGATGCTCCATTCTTCTTCATATAGTCCAGCTTCTTGGATTATTTGCTCAGCATACAGATTAAATAAGTATGGTGAAAGGATACAACCTTGACACACACCTTTCCTGACTTTAAACTATGCAGTATCCCCTTGTTTTGTTCAAACGACTGCCTCTTGATCTACTTACAGGTTCCTCATGAGCACAATTAAGTGTTTTGGAATTCCCATTCTTCACAATGTTATCCATAATTTGTTATGATCCAGACAGTCGAATGCCTTTGCATAGTCAATAAAACACAGGTAAACATCTTTTTGGTATTCTCTGCTTTCAGCCAGGATCCCTCTGACATCACCAGTGATATCCCTGGTTCCACATCCTCTTCTGAATCCGGCATGAATTTCTGGCAGTCCCGTCAATGTACTGTTGCAGTTGCTTTTGAATGATCTTCAGGAAAATTTTACTTGCGTGTGATATTAATGATAATGTTTGATAATTTCCATATTCAGTTGGATCACTTTTCTTTGGAAAATACATAAAGGTGGATCTCTTCCATTCATTTGGCCAGGTAGCTTTCTTCCAAATTTCTTGGCATAGACAAGTGAGAACTTCCAGCACTGCATCCATTTGTTGAAACATCTCAATTGGTATTCTGTCAATTCCTGGAGCTTTGTTTTTCACCAATGCCTTCAGTGCAGCTTGGACTTCTTCCTTAGTACCATTGGTTCTTGATCATATGCTACCTCCTGAAATGATTGTCGACCCGTTCTTTTTGGTACAGTGACTCTGTGTATTTTTTTCATCTCCTTTTGATGCTTTCTGCATCCTTCAGTATTTTGCCCATGGAATCCTTCAGTATTGCAACTCAAGGCTTGAATTTTTTTCTTCAGTTCTTTCAGCTTGAGAAATGCCAAAAGTGTTCTTCCATTTTTGTTTTCTAACTCCAGGTCTTTGCACATGTCATTATAATACTTTGTCTGTTTGAGCTGCCCTTTGAAATATTCTGTTCAGCTATTTTATTTCATCATTTCTGCCGTTTGCTTTAGCTACTCTACCTTCAAGAGCAAGTTTCAAGTCTCTTCTGACATCCATTTTGGTCTTTTCTTTCTTTCCTGTCTTTTTAATGACTTCTTGCTTTCTTCATGTATAAAGTCCTTGAAGTCATTCCAAAACTCGTCTGGTCTTCAGTCATTAGTGTTCAATGCATCAAATCTGTTCTTGAGATGGTCTCTAAAAATCTGTATTGGAGGAAGTACAGCCAGAATGCTCCTTAGAAGCAAGGATGGTGAGACTTTGCCTCATGTACTTTGGACATGTTATCAGGAAGAACCAGTCCCTGGAGAAGAACATCATGCTTGGTAGAGGGTCAGCATAGTAGAGGAAGACCCTCCACAAGTTGGATTGACACAGTGGCTGCAACAATGGATTCAAACATAGCAATGATTGTGAGGATGGCGCAAGAATGGCCAGTGTATCGTTCGTTCTGTCGTATATAGGAATCCGAATGACTCCATGGCACCTAACAACAACACATTTCACCAATCCGTAGCAGTCACAAATACACACACACTCAGACATACCTACACAGGGACTATTCTCTTATGTATACCCTTCCCCAAGCTGCTCACCTTTCCATTTATGTTTCCTTAGCCTAACACCTGGATAAAATATTATTAGGATAGAATTTGAGGCAGGGCTTTGACTCAGTTCATTCCGGTTTGAAGCCCTGGTTTGAGGTTGATTTTTTGGGGACTAGCCTCTTGCCACTCACTTTCTCCTCTCTTCTGTCAGTTAGCTGTCTCTCTCCATCTCCATCTTTCCCTGTCTTCATTTCCCTTTCAGTTTCTCTCTTCCTGTTTCCCTTGCTGTTTTCCTTTGTGTCACACTCTCTCCCCCTTTCTCTGCTTAAATCAAACCCGTTGTCATCGAGTTGATTCTGACTCATGGCAACCCCATGTTTTACAGAGTAGAACTGTTCCATAAGGTTTTCTTAGCTGTAATCATTTAGCCAGACCTTTCTTCAGCGGAGTCGCAGGGTGGGTTCCAACCGCCCACCTTTAGGTTAGCCGCCAATCCCAAACCTCTTGCGCCACCCAGGCTCCTCTTCTCTGCTTGTCGTGTTGTTGTGTGTGCCATCTACTCGGAATGGAGGTCAGATTTGGGGGAAGTGGCCTCTTCCCTCGGTCTCCCCACCCTGAAGTCTTCTGGAGACGCAGAACAGTCGGAGGATCTATCACAGGCAAATGGCCTGAGGGTTGCGCATCAGTACGACGCCTACCAATGACTCCCAGGTTGGAGAGAGACACTTACGGCTGAGCCTGGACGTCTCTTGCTCCTCCCGCCCGCAGGCGGCGCTGTGACAGCCAAGAGGCTGCGGCCGCCCGTGGGGCACTGGCCAATCCCAGCGTGCACCGTGCGGCCGGGCCCGCGGGGGCTTGTGGGGATGGCGTGACCCGGGTGGGGGTCGGCCGGGAGCTGACGCCAGTCCCTTCCCGGCTGAGGGCCGGGCGGGAACGCAGAGGTCATGGCCCGGCCGGCCCCGGTAAGAGGGGACATGAGGAAGGGGCGCCGAGACGCCGGTCCCTCGCGGCCAGCAGGGTCCCGCCCCGGGCGAGGCAGAGGCGGGGCGGGCAGTCTGGGGTCCGATGGGACCCGGTCTGATGAAGCCGGTGGCCGCCGCGCCCCAGGGGTGGTCCGGGGCTGAACCGCTAACGGGGTAAAGTTTGTATTGAGTATAAGAAGGAAGGATGATTAGAAGAGCATAAAAACCCCAGTAGTGTACACATCGATGATTGTCTTGTGGAAGAACGGGGAAGTGGAGGTTTAGAGGAAGCTGTAACAGCAGCTGTGCATGGGTAAGGGTCATAACAGGGTGAACTGAGATAGCTGGGAGGTGATGGAACGTTGTGTGTGTATGTATTTTGTGTAATCGATGGTAAAAGAATATTCAGTAAGTTGGGACAACTCAATATCCATTTGTAAAAGTAATTCTGTTCCTTTCTCATACGATCCATAGAAGTAAGTTCCAGATGGAATAACGATCTCGTTCTAATAAAGCATTATGAAACATTTAGGAGACTATCTTTTATAATCTTAGAATGAGAAAAGCCTTCCAAGCAAGGACACGACCTGAAGCCACAGAAGAGGTTCTGATAAAGGCAGTAAGATTAGAAATGTAAAGGCAGTATACTCTGAGAAAAGAAGGGGAAGTTATCCTTATTTGAAAAGTACACGATTGTATCCCACCGAAAACTTAATACAATTAAAACTGATAAGCGAACGTGGTACATTAATTGGATTCAAAATAAGTTTTCAAAAATCAATAACTTATTTTAACACTAATAGTAATGGTTTGAAGTGGCAGGGTGATCCCATTTACGATTGTTAGAAAAGCACGGGATACCAGAAATAAAGTCAATAAAAAGATTCAGAACATTTATGAAGAAAATCATGAAAGACCTAAATAGATGGAATGACAGACCATGTCCCTAGATGACATCAGTGTTTCCTAAATACACATACGAATTTAATGCAGTTCAAACTGAATCCCAGTGTACTTTTTTAATATTTCTTACTGGACAAAATGATTTTGAAATTTAAAAGGAAGAATAAATATTCCAGCAGTTGATAACAATAGCTTATGAAAGAATGGGGGAGGGGGAACTTGCTCTGCAGGTATTACAACAATGCAGAAAACCCATTGCCCGTCCCAGTCGATTCTGACACATAGCGACCCTATAGGACACAATAGAACTGCCCCATAGGGTATCCAGCGAGCGGCTGGTGGATTCAAACTGCCAGCCTTTTGGTTAGCAGCCAAGCTCTTAACCACTGTGCCACCAGGGCTCCATACATCTTTGCATAAGTGCGGTAATCAAATACATATAGATAGTGTAACAATATAGAGAGTTCAGAATATATAGATTCACATATATACGAAATTCAATGTTTGCAAACTTTGGAAGTTGGTATTTCAATTTAGAGGATAAAGAAGGGTGTACTTGATAGTGTTGCATGGTTAGCTATATGTATGTAAATAAAGAAAGATTCCAATCCCATGTAGAGAATTAAATCGCAAATCTGAATGTAAAAAAAATGATAATTTAGTAGAATATTTGTATAACCTTGATATGGGAACATTGTCTTAAATGAAAGAAAAACATGGAAACAATATAAAAAAGACCAACAGATTTAACTAAATAAAAGGATCAAAATATTCTATTTGACAAAAGATGAAATCAGAAGACAAACGATAAAGTGAGAGAAAATGTTTGCCAGCCAAAGGGTTATTAACCCTAATGTAAGAAGAGCACATTCAGATTCTAAGAGCCCGCTAGAACATTGAGCAAAGGATGTAAACAGACATTCACAAAGATACATAAAAAGCCAACAAAAAGCATGACGGGATGCTCAGCCTCACAAGTTAATGCAAATTAAAATAAAATACAATTTTTTATTCATTCACATTAGCAAAAAAAAAAAAACAAAAGACCTGGTGATCTGCTCCCATAAAGATTACAGCCTAGAAAACCCTGTGGGGCAGTTCCACTCTGTAACACATGGGGTCACTATGAGTTGAAAATCTACTGGACGGCACCCAACAACATTCGTACGCACATAGAATTGGATGAGCACAAAGAAACAGGATTACAGTGGTTAACAAGGAACCACGTGACTGGAGTAGGGGAGAAGCAGTTCCCTCAGGGAGGCTGCTGAACAGACAAAAACTGTCTACTACGGAAGTCTCTTAAATTAATGATGAGAAAGAGCTGGAGTCATTTGCAAACACTTGTGACTATATGTATTGTCTGTAATTGTAGTTACCGCTGACGTTTGAGGATGTTGCTGTTTATTTCTCGGAGCAAGAATGGCAGAATCTGAAGGCCTGGCAGAAGGACCTTTACAAGCATGTGATGAGAGCCAATTATGAGACTCTTGCTTCCCTAGGTAAGATCTGTTCAGCTTTGTGGGTATGATCTGGAGCTGGCATGGAGAATTTTGAAAACATAATTTGAGGGGAAAAAAGCAAATTGAAGCATGGTACAGTATGGTTTATGCAAAATTTAAAACCACTAATATAAATTTATTTGTATGTATGTATTAAAAAAAATTAAAACAGTGTATGGCCCCCAGACACCCTTTTAGCTCAGTGGTGAAGTCACTCCCAACGTTCACCATTCAGCCGGGGATTGCACAGTCCCATAAAACAAAACGGGACTAATGAGGCACAGCAGTCCAGGGACAAGGACTAGAAGGCAGGAGGGGACAGGAAAGTTGGTGATAGGGAAGCCAAGGTTGAGAAAGGACAGTGTTGACATGTCATGGGGTTGTTAACCATTGTCATAGGGCAATATGTGTACTGTTTAACGAGAAACTATTCTGTTCTGTAAATCTTCATCTAAAGTCCAAAAAAAAGAATTATCTACGTGAGATCAAATTGACAACAGCAACTCAGAAGGTTTGATGGGAAGCCTAGGGGGCAGTGAGTTGAAGATAATGGTGATGGAATAATTTGGAAAAGGATAGTGAGAATAGCAGCACAAGTGGAAGAACATAATCAATGTCACTGAATTGTACATGTAGAAATTTTTGAAATGGTGTATCTTTGGCTATGTGTATTTTCACCAAAAAAGAAAAAGGGTCCTCCAAGGTCGAGAAGGGAGAGTATTGACATGTTGTGGGGTTGTTAACCAATGTCATAAAACAATATGAGTACTGACTGTGTAATGAGAAACTATTTGTTCTGTAAACCTTCACCTGAAGTACAATTAAAAAAAAATTAAAACATGCATGAAAATGATAAACCCCAAGTTCAGTGTAGTGATTACTTGTGGAGGGGGGATATATATAGATGCTTAAACTTGTAATGTCTCATATCTTTAAAAAACCTGAAGCAAGTATGTCAGCATGGAAAGATTGTATATTATTCTCCTCTCAGTTCTATTCCATTGATCTATATGTCTGTTCTTATTCCAGTACCAGACTGTTTTGATTGTTATTGCTTTGTAGTAAGTTTTGAAATCAGGAAGTGTGAGTTCTCCAACTTTTTCAAGACTGTTTTGGTTATTTTGGGTCCCCCGGTGGCACAGTGATTAAGCGCTCATCTGCTAACCAGAAGGTCGGTGGTTCAAACCCACCAGCTTCTCCATGGGAGAAAGAAATGACAGTCTGCTTCCATAAAGATTAACAGCCATGGAAACCCTGTGGGGCAGTTCTACTCTGTCCTATAGGGTCACTATGAGTTAGAATCAATTCTACGGCAGTGGGTTTTTTTGGTCTGGCACATTTCCATATGAATTTTATAGTAAGTTTGTCAATTTCTGCAAAAAAAAAAGGTCAGCTGGGATTTTGGCAGAGATTATACTGAATCTGTGGATCAATTTGGGGAGTATTGCCATCTTAACAATATTAAGTGTTTTGATCCGTGAACATGGATATCCTTCCATTTATGTAGGACTTTAAGTTTCTTTCAACAGTGTTTTGTAGTTTTCATCGTACAAGTCTTACTGTTTTGTTAATTTTATTTCTGGAAAAATAATTCTATTTTAAAAGATGCTGGGAGTTTAGCCCAGATGAAGATTGAGAATTGGTGTATCCATTTAAATAAAAGGTGGTGATTCATTTTTTCATGAGAGCAGCCTTAGAATTCTTCTGAGGTTTAAGTCAGATTTCAGAGGGCTCCGGAGGAATCTGGAACAGTATGATCTGTCTCCATATATACTAAGCCACTCTGACACTTGATGATCTGGCCAATCTACTAATTACCCTTTAGTGATCTACAAAGCATACTTTTGGTTCTGCTAAATATATATATTATTGAAAAAAAGACAGTTTTTTGTTTTTGTGTTTTTTACTTGAAAGTACATAGAGCAAACATTTCTTGCAGTGATGGTTGTTGCTGTTAGTGGCTGTTGAGTCTGTCCCGACTCATAGTAGCCCAGTGCACAACAGAATAAAACGCTACCCGGTCCTGCGCCATCCTCACAATCGTTATATTTGAGCCCAGTGTTGCAGCCACTGTGTCAAGCCATCTCATTGAGAGTCTTCCTCGTTTTTGCTGACCCTCTACTTTACCAAGCATGATGTCCTTCTCCAGGCACTAATCCCTCCTGATAACGTGTTGAAAGTGATCCCTCCTGATAACATGTCCAAAGTGAGTGAGACTAAGTCTCACTGACCTCGCTTCTGAGGAGCATTCTGGATGTACTTCTTCCAAGACAGACTTGTTCTTCTGGCAGTCCATGGTATAGTCAATATTCTTCACCAACACCATAATTCAAAGGCATTAATTCTTTTTCCATCTTATTTATTGTTCAGCTTTTGCATGTGTATGAGGGGATTGAAAATACCATGGCTTGGGTCAGGTGCACCTTAGTCCTCAAGGTGACATCTTTGCTTCTTAACACTTTAAAGAAGTCTTTTGCAGCAGATTTGCCCAATAAAATGTGTCTTTTGATTTCTTGACTGCTGCTTCCATGGGCATTGATTATGGATCCAAGTAAAATGAAATCCTTGACAACTTTCATCTTTTCTCCATTTATCATGATGTTGCTTATTTGCCCAGTTGTGAGGATTTGGGGAAAAGGAGTCAAATATAAGAGAATCTTGTAACTATTTTCATTCTTTGCAATTCCTATTCTGAACAGAACTCAGCCATGATGTATGTTGTGATTAGCACTGTCACCAGAAGTACTTCTGAGAATGTTTTAGCTGGAGCCTACCTATTTTGAAATTTCCTACAATGTTCATTCTAGTTCTTATTTTTTATATCCCTTCTTCCCATGATATTTCCAGTTATCTGATGGGTTGTCCCATGATTCTCAAAGCAAAATACTAGTGAGTTTTATTAAACCCATGACAAAATACGGCACTGTGAGATATAAGGGGACCACAGCAAAATTAAAACAACACAACTAGTCTAACAGGTCCAGATAGATTAGGAAGCACTGTTATGATATGTGGGCAGTTTTCCTCTTTTTGTAAACCTGTAGCGTATGTGATGGTTAAGGTGGTTTGTCAACTTGGCTGAGCTGTGATTCTCAGTGGTTTGACAGTTACATAATGATGTAATTGGGCAGTTATGTAATGATGGAGTTATCGTCCACTTTGTGACTTACTGTAATCACCTCCATGATGTGATTTGATGTGATCAGCCAATCAGTTGTAAGGGGAGTTTCCTCAGGGGTGTGGCCTGCATTCAATATATACGGACGTTCTGGCAAAGCTTGCTGGATTTTGCTTGCTCTGGATCCTGATTCCAGCTCCTTATCATCTGACCTCCAGTTCTTGGGACTTGAGCCAGCAGCCTGCCTTCTTACCTGCCGATCTTGGGTTTGTCAGCCCCTGCAGCTACATGAGTCAGGAGAAGCCGGATGCCTGACATCTGACCCATGGACTTAGGACTTGCCAGCCTTTTCAACCACATAAGCCATTTCCATAGATAAATTTCTGTATGAATATATATATGTATATGTATATATGTATCTATGCTTCACTGGTTTTGCTTCTCTAGAGAACCTAGCCTAAGACATTTGGTAGTAAGAGTGGGTCTAGAGAAACAAAATTGTAAGGATGTTTTTTAAATTGGTTCTCAAGTCTGGTTAGTCTTAAACATATTGATGACTCCACTTCCAATAGTAAAGAGGTTACTGCTAATCCATGGCATGAGGTGGCAATAGAAATGTGAAAAATATCACAACCAGTAGATCAAGTATTGATGAGAGGCGAGGCTCTGGGTGATCGCATGTCTGATACTTTTCTACAGTTTTATCAGAATGAGAAGTATAAGGAAGTGGCTGGGTGGTACTACTTTTGCTAGACAAAGTGGTGAAAGAAAGAGATGAGCTCAAGGCTTCAGAGTCATAGCCCAAGTGCCATATAAACAATCTCAAAGTTGCCACTCATGCCCTGAAAGAAAGCCTTATTTCTTGTAACAGAGCTGATATTACCAAAAACCAAATCCAGAGTCTTATTGTAAGAGTGGCTGGATTACAACTCCAACTGAAATCCCAACTCAAATGGTGTCTGAAGTTAAAGTGAGGGCATCTATTGGGAAGAAATTCCTGAAACTCTGAATGGGAACATATAGGCAGTTAATCAGGAAGCTAAGGAGCACAGGTGGCATAGTGGTTAAGAGCTCTGGCTGCTAACCAGAAGGTCAGCAGTTTGAATCCATCAGCTGCTGCTTGGAAACCCTATGGGGCAGTTCTACTCTGTCCTGTAGGGTCACTATAAATCAGAATCAACTCGATGGCAATGGGTTTGGGTTTTTTTGGGGGGCGGGCCACTGAGCTCCTAAATTCCGTTGAATCAATACTGCCAACAGAACCAGTCCTGTCATTCCTGTCTGAAAAGAGTACTCCATCTTTGTCTGCTAAGCCAACCTCCCCAGTAAAACCAATAGCCCCTCTATCCCCATCTGATGAGATTAACCCAGCTATGTCTGAAAAGGCTTTGAGATATCGCCTGGGGCAGCGTCTGAGTCATTGCTAGGGGCATCGCCTGAGGCAGATGCCTTACAAGACATTGCTAAATGTTCTTAGAACACATCCCCACCACCCATTTTTGCTTCTAGAACTATAATTGGACTTAAGTCCTAGCAAGCCCCAAAAGGTAAAGTACAAAGTATGACCCAGGGGAAGTACACTACACTCCAGAAGAACTGCTTGACTTTTCTAATATGTCCAAACAGAAACCTGGGGAATATGTGTGGGAATGGCTGTTAAGGGTGAGGGATTTATTAATGGTGCAAGAAGCATAAAGTTGGGTCAGTCTGAGTTTATTGATATGGGCCCACTAAGCACAGATTCTTCATTGAGTGTTTTAGTTTGAGAGGTTAGGAATGGATGTAATAGTTTATTTGGTTGGTTCGCTGAAGCATGGATTAAGTGGTGGCCTACACTAAATCAAGTTGATGTACCAGACCTGCCATGGCATACTGTAGAAGA